AAGAAAACCATCTACCGTAAAGAGCGACGTACTTGGCCTGAAAATAGTGGCCAGCCTCACTCGATAGCACAGCTTGATCGAAGTTCGACATTCTCGATAGCATCAACCCAGAAGCATAGTTTCTTTCGCTGTCTGTTGATCTGCACACTGTCCCATCAATAGTAATGAGAAGTCTCTTGAATGAGTATCCGCTTGGTATTATAACCTTAAAAGAGATGACGACCTGGTGCACCATTGTCAATTTTACTCAGCAGCTTTCTCGGGGCTCCGACGATCTTGTCATGTCCGATTACGACCTAAAACAAGTCAACGTACCGGACGCAACTGCTGATTGTTAAGGAGTTCATTTTCACGGGAGGGATGCGGAGGGCATCCCAGACATTATGTCGTTCCAAAAATGTCGACTGAGTTACAGGTAACATTAGGAGACCTTCAAGGAACATTCTGCTTGGACGACCTTCGTTCAACTTGTCGCTTTTTAACCTTATGATGGCCTGGCCCTAACGCATCTACGTCAACGAGAACTGCCAAGTACATGTACTATTCAAGTACGAAGGATTCAATTCGTACGCGTGGCAAAACACGACTATAAAGGAAATCTCACTCGCTCAGAAATTGATCAAGTTCTCTTTCGAGGGAACACTGCCAGTCGGCGTCTTCGAGATCGAAAATCTCCCAGGTATACTGCAAAATATCTAAGTCAGCGCTGTTTGAGAACAGCTAGCCCAAGATGATCACCAAAAAACTACTATTAGGCATGACCTACATAATCTACAGGTTATCTCTGAACACCGTACAGGTTAACCTTCTGATGTTCAGTGTAAGGCGTTGAGGAACTCGGATCCATTTCACGTTAGCAGGGAAATTCGAGGTATTATTGAAGCGGAAAAGCTGCAAGTCCACTTTAAAGAGTTTTTGTTTCTTCATCGAAAGCGCTGAGGTTCCCAATACAAAAAAGTGTACTTTGAGACCTTTGTGTAACCCTCCCGGCATGAGCGCAAGCGAACTCTTAATATCCGCATAATATTACTAACCCCCACGCGATAAAAATATACATGTACAATTCTACTAATGTTATATTTGTAATACGATAAATTAGTAGTACTGTGTGATCTAATATCAATCGCTGGTCATAATCCAATTTGATCGCGTAAAAATGATATTTTCCAGTAGTACATACCGTCATCGTAAGTTGTTCATGGACCGAATCAGCCGCAAATGAAGCGCTGGAATAGGTCAAAGCGCCTAGATTTAGCGATATTCGTTTCTAATTAAAAAAAAATCGTCATCGTAACTTGCCCCTTCCAAACATGTTGCTACTTCTGTGATCCTGCCAAGAGTGCAAGTAACAACGTATTGATAAACAGATTCCACTTAAAATAAAAATCGATCTGGTAGCTTTATCTCTAGGTACTTCCTCTTGGAGATTTGATGATCTGCGCTCAGCATGCCTTCCGGGTTAGTTTATTCTGTTTTAATTCGCTGAAGTTGCTTTACCAATTCTATAAACGCACCTTTAGAAGCGACAGAGCAGTGACGCTTCTTCTTTAGGTCACGAAATGTCCTCGCCGGATGCAAGGCAGATGTTAAGTCCTCGTGAGTCCAAACAGCTTAGACTTCGGCACGCCCACAAAGAGAAGATATGCGGTTGACAATCCTGCGAGATTACGCGACCGAGCCCTTAACTACCAGATGCGGACAACCCGACGCCAGAATTTACCTATTCGTTTCTTGAACATTCAGCTCATATTTTGATGTCAGCTGAATGTTGAGCGAGATAACATCGAGTTACGCAATACCGTGGAATTAATCCGTTGAAGGTTGTCCATAGCGAAAGGTACTCCTTGTATAATGGTGCTCTGTCAATCTGCTGTTGACGATCCGGTTAGTAGGCAAAAATCGGACCGTGTACTATTTAATGAAAAAAATGCCACTCAGAATGTACACATACGTCGCAACAGTGCAATCGGGAGTTTTTTTTTTTTTTTTTTTTTTTGAAATGATACTTTCTTCGACACTGTCCTACTTGTGTGTAAAGCCGGTCTGTTTCAGGGTAAAC